CTAATATCCTTAGATTTTCTAATATTTTCTACAGGGAATAGGAGAATAAAATCTATATTTTTATCAAGCCTAAATTTGCTAAATTCAAAATTCTGAATTTTATTAATAAAAAAATTAATAAGCAAAAAAAATAATAGGTATTTACCTTCAAAGACACAAAGCAAATCTGGCTGACTATATAACAAAACTAAGAATACCTTTCCAATTTTTTCTCAGAATAAAATAGATTAGTCAACATCCATTTCCAGCCTTTCAAACGAAATCAACACTGAAACCTTTCCCAGTATAGAACATCTAAAAATGCTCAATGAAATACAGAAAATATCTTTTAGCAATCCTGCTATATCTGTCAGAAAGTAAGAGAAACAGCTAGACACAAAAAACAATGGCAACAAGAGAGAGTAAATCTATAGGGTCAGTGAGTCCTGGAGCCTGGGCCTGCCCTGAGAGATCAGGCAAATTCTTGGGGCATAAGGCCTGAATTAGAATGACCATCTGAACTCTAGGGACAGGAGATAAATCCTAAAGACATGGGGAAAAGAGTATAGATGGGAGACAGCTCCTGAAATAAAAGTAAGATACTCTAAACTCAGCATACCTGGTTGGTCAACTAGGGAAAAACAAAAATCAAAACAAAACAAAACAAAAAACACCCTACAGAGAAAGCCAGTGGGGATATATGCCCTTCTTGGCCTTACCACTAGAGGTAATGCCATAAGAAAAGAAAAAAATAATCTCTAAAGATATTCCTAACCATAAACCATCAATTGAGTTTGGGGCTGAAATTCACATTACCTCTGTGGTCTGGCAAACCTTTTGCCAAAAATGTAGTATACATTCCTGTCCTCCCCGCCCTCAAAAAATATAGATGTAGATATAAAATGTTAAAACTATACTTCATCAGAGTCTAGATCCAATGACCAATTATAGAAAGTAGAGAAGACAAAAAAAAAAAAAATCCCTAAATGACACCACAGGGAAGCAATCACTAAGATCCAGATTATGACAAATTCTTTAGTACAAATGTGGCAGATTTTATTTCCAAAAATGGCTGGAAAAATAATCCTATCCCACATATTTTTCTACAGTGTAAAGTTGCCATTCCTTCCTCAAATAGTGGAGTCCTTCTTCACGCCCTTGAACAGAGGCTGGCGCTATGACTATATTGACCAATCATCTGCAGCAAAATAAAGAAATAAAGCTGCCAAACTGGTGATTGCTAGATGGGAGGGAATTGGAAGGCTGAGTGAAAAAGGTAGAGGTATTAAGAAGTACAAATTGGTAGTTACAAAATAATCACGGGGATGTGAAGTACAGTATAGGGAACATAGTCAATAATATTGTAGTAACTATGGGGCCAGCTGGGTACTAGGCTAATCTGGAGGATCACTTGGTAAATTATATAAATGTCTAACCACTATGCTGTACACCTGAAACTAATAAAAAATATTAAATGTCAACTCTAATTGAAAGAAAAATGTCATTAAAATAAAAGAAGTAAAGCTGTGCCAGTTGCAAGTATAACTGTGAAATGGCCTAGCATCTTCCACTACTTAATTCTTGGAAGTGAGCTGCCATGGAACAAGTGCAAATAACCCAAGATTGGTATGTTGAAAGAAGCCTAAGCCACATGGAAAAGTTCTGAACAATGAGATGCCATGTGGTGAGAGAGAAAGGAGAGGGAGAGATATAGACAGACAGACACACCAAAGAATATTAAGGTATTAGATATGCCAGACATGTGAGTGAGTGAAGAAGCAATCTTGGACAATCAAGCCCACCCAACCCTTCAGATGACACTGGCCCAGCCATTCTCTAACTGCCACTGCAGGAGAGGACTCAGGCAAGAAGCATCCATCTGACCCCTGTTAACCCCCCCCCCCCCAAAAAACATGAGAGATGATAATAAATTATTATTTTAAGTCTTTAAGTTTTCAGGTGGCTTATTATATAGTAAAAGATAAGCAGAAAGACAATTTGGTTATCCTCAACAAACTATAAGAGAAAAGAGATTGATAGAGGGGAAAATCTTTGGACTAAAAGTTTATAAAAGATTTAAAATAATATTGTTTAATCTTATTTGGATCCTGATTTAAACAAATAAATTATGTTTAAAGTTTATTATCTATATGGCACATTCATAAATTTAAATATTGACTAGATATTTGATGATATTAAGGAATTTAACTTCTTTTAGACTGATAACGGTATTGTAGTCATGATTTTAAAAAGAGAGCTTATCTTTAGAAATATATATTCTCTAAGTTATAGATATTATGAAATGTCTTTGAAGCATGTGCATAGAAAGATTAACTCACAGCTTTAAAAAAATAAAAACGCTAAATACATGAGGAGAAAAGACAACAGGAGTAAGACTAAACAAAGAAAATAAAGTTCAAAATCAAACCTGCAAATATAACATATATAAAAATAACAAATAAATGAGTGTATGGAAGAATAATAAAGAAGTTAGGGACTATCAAAATTGAACAAGAAGATACAGAAAAGAAAAAATAGAACTTCTAAATCTATGAAAAAGTATAATCGTTGAAAGGAAAGTTTTAATGGACTGGTTTGATAGTAGAACAAAACCAAGAGAAGAAAGAATTAAGGGTAGAGAGGGAGGGGGAGGGGGAGGGGGTGGAATTTCACCCTTCTGGAATTCCAAGTAGAATTTTATTGTAACATTCCAGAAGGGTGTATTAGAGATTGAAAGAGTCAAAGTCTTATAAAATTCCGTAATTGGTAAAAGACAGGAAGATTCAAGAAGACAATAGTCTAATATATAATAAAAAGGAATCTATGCTTATACAAGTTATGATGACACTCCAGAATAAAGACCAAAAAAGATGATAAAAATATCCAAAAGAAAAGAATATTACTTACAAAGGAATGAGAATTATACTGACAGTTCACTTTTATGGAAGTCAGAAATATAGAAAATAGCTCCCAAGTAAAAAAAATAGCTTTCAATCTAAAATTATATATCCAGAGAAACTACCTTTTAAGAATGAGGGTGAAACAAAAACATTTCCAGACAAACACAAATGAGAGCGTTTGCCGCCCAAAGATCTTCATACGAGAAAAAAATTAAAGTCTGGTAAATTCTGCTTAAGAGCAATAACTCAGTATTAAAGGAAAATATTCCAAAAAGGAAGGTCAGAAATGAAAAAAAAAAAAAAAAAAGAAAGAAAGAAAACAAAGAGAATGGTAAATTTGTACATAATTCTAAGAAATACTGACTAGGTCTAATTAATTAGATTTTAAAATTCAGATAGCAATAAAATCTAGGTAATAACAGTATATGATTCAGAAAAAAAATATAAAAACTGAAGCATTCTTTACTCCTTAGCATTATTCAGAAGGGTAAAATACTAACTTTAGAACTTAAATATGCATTTTAAAATATACAATACAATCACTAAAAGATTAAGTGTATAACTTCCAAAGTAATAGAATAAAAAGAACAAAGAAATAAGAACAAAACTGCATCAACCTAAAAGAGGACAAAATTGGAAAATAAAAAAGAAAGAACCGAGAAATTTAGACAAATAAAAAGCAAAAATGTGGTAAAAATTAATTCAAATCTATCAATCAACAGCATCAATTTAAATGAATTAAATACTTTAGTTAAAAGCACAGAATGTAAAATAAAATTTTTAAGTGTCCAGCTATGTGTTATTTACAGAGACACAAGACACAGGGTATACTGAACATAAGGGAATAGAAAATATACATTTCAGACAAGTGAAAATTAAAAGTTACTACAGCTTTATTAGTATAAAATAAGCTTGAAGGCAAAAAGCATTACTAGAAATAGAGAGTCACATAAAAAGTTCAATTCACAAAAAAGATAAACTAAATATAAATGTGAATGTACTTAACAACATGGCTTCAAAACAAAGCAAATATTAACAAAAAAAGATATAGTACAGAAAATAAATATAGTAAAAAATTGCTTCTTTGATAAAATACAATTAACAATAGTACAATTAACAATATTACAACTAACAAACCGCAGGCTAAATTGATCAAGGAAAATAAAAAGCACAAATCAATAAAACTAGAAATTTAAAGGGAAAAATAATAGATTTGGATTAGAAAAATAACAAGATAGTAAACAATATGTCAACAAATTTGAAAATATGGAGGAAATTGGAAAAAATATAGAAAAGTATAAGTTACTGAAATAGAAAAATAGAAATTCCGAATATTTTATAACCATCAAAATCGTTTGATCATCAATTTTACAAGTTCCACACAGAAACTTCCTGGCTAGTTTAGAAGCATGTCTGACTATTCAAAGAAAAGATAATTGGCATGTTGCACACAATAAAGAGAATATTATATTCTATCTTATAGAATAGAAGTAGAATAGGAGGAGAAACAATCCATAGCTGATTTTATAAGAATAGTATATTCCTGACACCAAAATCAAATGGAGACACTATAAGAAAAGAAAATTGCAGGCCAACGTCATTCTTAGAGATGCAAAAATTCCCTGTCCGCCAACCCCCAAATATATGCAAACCAAATTCAACTATGTATAAAAAAACACTACATTCTACCAGGTTGCAAGGTTTGTTCAACAACAGAAAATCTATTAATATAACTCACCACATCAATTGATTAAAGAAGAAAATCCACATTTTTATCTAATAATTTCAGAAAGGGCATTTGTCATTGTCTTCATTAAGGACAACTACCACATTAAAATCAGATGTAAGATGACAGTTGACAGTAGTAAATAGTTTATATTGCCCTCTTCGGTGGCTAAGGATATATGATGTAATACAACTTTTCCAGATTTAAATGAAGTTTTCCTGAACTATTATATTGAGATATGTCGACACAAGGTGATTTATGACTCTGGCAAGTCATAAAGAACATTGGCTATAACATAACTCCCAATAAAACCATCTTGGTTTTGAATCCATATGTATTTTCAAGTACTGCAAAGAAAGTAAAAGGCAGTGATAACTATTATTATCAACATTTACCTTGAGTTTATGTTCTTTCCTGTTTACAATCACAGCTGTGATTTGCTGATCCATGAAAATCAGAATGGTGACCAACAAAGCGGGGATAGCAGCGGCAAGGCACACCCACCAGGGGTTTCCTCCAAATGGCGGAACAAACCAACCACGGTTTGGACTTGTTGGCTTGAAGAATAGAGAAAACATTAATACATACGACTTGGTGAAAAATCAATGGGGGAGACACACTTTCATTTTTAGAGGGCCAACATGTTGAAAAATGGAAACAGTTTTACCCATAGGTTGGATAAAGTAGATTATTCACTAAAATTTTTCTAAAGGAGGTTATTTGTAAGGCAACATTTTAAATGAAGGAGACTAAGAATATAGGATGGCGAAAAAGAATTTAATACCCTTTTCTGCATTTAGAATGATCAAAGGACTCAACACAAAAGAAAGTGATTTAAGTTTAAGGGGCAGCCATAAGAAAAATCCAGATGTAATATCCAGAAGAAAGGCAGGCAAGAAATTACAAAACCACCATGAACTAATGCCAAATTGTAATAGTTTCATAATATAATATGTAAAAGCTACAAATAATTTTATATTTTATAACAAATAACATATAACAAATACGTTATAACTGAACTTACTTGAACACTCTGGTCTTTCTTATCTTTTATATGAAAAATAATCCAGAATAACTGATTAAATATTCACATATATCACAGAAAATAAAAGCTATGGTCATTTTCCAATTCTCCATCGATCCTCTGTCAGCAGATCATACATCTCTATGACAGAAAGAGATATTTCCTATCCTTTTCCTAACTTTAAACAATGCAAATAAACTAAAATAGAATCCTATCTATAAATTATTTTTTCCACATCTACTATCAAGAAAGTCTCTCTTCTCCTTTGAAGATATTTCTGTCATCTGCCTCGCTTTACTCATAACTCCATCACTGAGTCTACCCACATTTTACTACCTTTACCAGGTTGTGAGCTTATAAGGAAAGGAACTTTGTCTTGCTCATCAATACATTTCAAATCCTCAGTATAGGGCCTGATTCAAAGCAAACATTCAGTAAATATTGGCTTAAGTGAACTAATAATAAAATGCACTTATCTTTGTTAATGACTATATGATGGCAGAGATAATGCGAAAAACATCATTTGCTGTAACATAGGTATCCCTTCCTCACTGAGTAGGTATTAAGCTAAAACTACAGTTAGTTTAATGTTCCTTAGCAATTATATGGTCACTGTGATGTAGAGAGAGGTTAGGAGTGTTCTAGAAAAGAGGTAAAAACTTATAATGGAAAGTTTGGTATAGATATATAAGAATGACTGAAATATAAATTTTAGCCATGAAGCCTGCATATGCCAACAAGTTTATAAAATGAATAATTCCTATATCACCTTTATAATAATTAAAATGCACATTATATATAAATGGGTGTGTATATGACAGGTGGTTTGGTAGCAAGAAAAACATTGAATTAGTAATGTAATCATGAGCATTTATATGAGCTTTAATTTCGACTTTGTAAAATTATGAAAAATTATTTACATGGGTCAAAGTGATAAGTTATTTGAAAATACTTTGGATTTTTAAATTACTCTATAAATATAAAACAAAGATTTTAATGTTATTATAAGGTATTTTTCAGTAAATATCGATATAATGTGAACCTTGCATTTGATCCTAGTCAAGTATTTAGTGAGGAAATAGATAAAATATATGTATGTGCCTAGCAAAAGAACATTTTTAGAATAAAGAAATGAATAATTTTAAGAAACTAACTCCAAGAGAGAGATGACAAACTAGAATAAGGGAAAGGAAAGAAAGCCAAAGCACTCCAGGAAAGACAGTTCACCTACCTTGAACTCACTTGGCACAATTAATTTTGGAGTATCCACACCTACCAGGGCATCTATTACACAAAAGATGAGAATGGACAAGATAATGGCAAAATCACTGATCAGTTTTCGTGCCTGCAAAAATAAAAAAGAAACCAAGGACTGTTTAGCACTGGATAAATATATTTGCTTGTGTTTGAACTGAACAAAGAATTCTATTCTATATTTGCTAACAGTTTATAGTAATAGTTTCATCAACAAATTAAGAGAGGTATCACACTGCAGAGATATTTTTTTAATTGTTTTTGCATCACTTTTTCATCTTGCCAGTAATAATCTAACCCCACAGAACAGGTCAGTGTACGTGTGTGCAAGGGAGAAGAATTAAGGGTAACATACCCCTGAAAAAACTGTATAAACGCCCTTCCTGTATGCAGTACAAAGGAAACCTGGATGAGGATGAAATCTCAGGGCATATTATAAAAATGTGCACAAAAACATAGACTTCTGTGTATTATTTGGGAGGTATTATTCTAACTATAGAGCAAGATAAATTCCATAAGGTAATCTGAAAACACCAAGAATCTAGCGAGGAAGGGTTCCAGTCCATTGAGTTGACTCAGGATTTCAGAGAAATGTAAAGCGATGGCAGATGGAAACGATGGCATTACTTTTCCAAAGAAAACATTTTTCACTCTAGGTTACTGTTTAAAATCTGTATGTGGAGCATCTCGTTCAGTGTGGTCGTCATTAGACAATAACCTTCGAACTCCCTAAGTACCTGCCTCTGGCCAAGACCAGGGCTGGGCTTTACAGGCTGTAGCCTTAAACCCAAACCTTTTCCATGAAGTGGGTGCAGAATTGCCATTTCTGCATCAGTCAGGGAGCATGAGACTGTTTAATTGCTTGGCCGTTCCTCTGCAGGATCAAGTGGCACTGACAACAGCCTAAGAGCATTACTACAGCACAGACATCTGAGCGCCCCCATAAGGTATGTACTCATAGTTGTGCATAATCTAACCATTAAAAAAAACAAAAACAAAAAAAAAACTTAGTACCTAATACCTTGGTTGGTGCTAGGGATACCACAGTGAACAAAACAGACACAATCCATGTTTTTGTGAAGCCCACAGTTAAGCCATAAACAAGGAAGCCTGCTCCAAAATAAAATTTGGGTCGATTTAGCAGTTATCAGGTTACCTCAGGGTAAATTTTTCTAGTGCTGCTAGGTGAAGAGAGATTAGAGATGGGATGAGTGGCTACACAGTTTTCAGGACAGAGGGTCTTTTGAAAGAGCACTAGGATGACTGCAGTCAGGTGTTTAACAGAAACTGAAGTGAAGAACAAAAGTACTTGGTGATGTAGATCTGCTGAAGGCTGTGGTGGTGTCAATTCTTGACCATCAAGAATTGGGTACTAACTAGCAGCAGGGTCACAGATGGCCCTTTTGCCCAGGAGTTCTTTCCCCTCTTAGATTGATTCTGTTAGGTTTAGCTTTCTTGAGAAGTGCACACAGAGGAGTAGAAAGCCAGCTATGCGACCTTGTGGGAGCAAGTTAACACCAATCACACACAATAGTTTCAAGCACAAATAGGTGGCAGGGATCAATCTGGGGAGAAAATATGGTACAACGGTGAGAAGCACAGTTTCCATAGACAGATTACTGTCTATGTTGGAACTCCAGTGACATGAATTCCTATCTGTAAATACTTATCCTCTCTTACCTTCAATTACTCCATCTGCAAAATGCAACCAAATTAATCCCTACGATTACATAGGTTTATTCTAAGAATTAAATAAAATAAGCCATGAAAGTATCTAACATAACACCTGTAACATAATAACTTCTCCTAATATATATTAACTATTGTTTTTCAAGTTCCACAATGCCTCTTTGGCTGTAAAAACCACTGGAATAATGAAATAATCTACTCTCAGGTGGTCTTTGAAAGGAATCTTCAAATACAAGAAATAAAAAATAAGAGCCCAGTAATAATATGGAACTGCCACTTAGAGCTACTTTTGGTTAGAAATATCTGGAATCTCTAAAGAAAAAGGATGCTTCTCAGGGACTCAATACTAGAGGAAACTCCCATTTCTTAAGCTTTGTGCAAGCAGGTGTTGACACAGGCAGTTCTAGGAATATATTAAGATGTTACAGCAACCTTTCTGGTCTAGTAGGCCATAAATCACTGGAATTACAGAAATCATTGCAAAGGCAAAAATAGTCTCTTTCCTTTATCATCTTCCCAATCCTTACCCAATAAATCTAACTTTTTGACAATTCAGATATCCTAGAAGTTGTTTAAAAGTTGTTATTAAAAAGACAGTACTCCTCTCCCAATTCCCAGAGGAGTACTTCCAGGAGAAGGGAAGCACAAGGTAGCAAATAAATACAATCTGCAATTCCTTGATAGAAATTCCCATAGGGCCTGTATCTCTGGCCTGCTAGGGGACAGATCTGCTTGACTGAAATCACTACCAGGCACCTGGAAAATGCTGCTTCTTTAGTCAAGAGAAGAGGCATTCTCAGCCTTCCATTGGCTGAACACTGAAGCCCTAAACTTACTCTTTTAGCAGTTTTTTTCCACCTTAATTAATGGCAGATTATTTTTTTCTGAGCGCTTAGGCCAAGAATTTTGGACTATTCACATGACTTTTCTCTTTCTCTCACATCTTATATCTAACTGATCAGCAAATTACCTTCAAAACACACCCAGAATCCTATTACTTCTCACCACCTTCATTGCTATTAGCACCATTGTCTAAGCCACGACTTTAACTCATATGGTTTCCTACAGTGGCTTCCTATCTCATCTTTCTGTTTCTACACTTGCCTGCCTTCAGTAAACTGTCAAGGTATCACCCGACATAACTGTTAAAGTTTAGGTCAGATAATGTGGTAGGCAGAATAATGCCCCCTAATGATATCTATGTCCTGATTCCTGGAACCTATGAAGTATGTATGTTTCATGGCTAGGGAGAGTTAGGTTGCAGATGGAATTAAGGTTGCTAACCATCTGACTTTGAGATTGAGCATTTGATCTAGTATTATTCCAGTGGGCCCAATGTAATCATAAGGGTCCTTATATGTAAAAGAGAGGGGCTGGATAGTCAATTTTAGAGTGATGCAATGTGAGACTCAACTGGCCATTGTTGGCTTTGCAGATGGAGAAAAGAGGCCATGAGCCAAGGAATGTGGGCAGCCTCTAGAAGCTGGAAAAGGCAAGGAAATGCATTCTCCCCCAGAGCCTTCAGAAAGAATGCAGTCCTGACAACACCTCGATTGAGCCCATTGAGACCCATTTCAGACTTCTGACCTCTAATTCTCCAGACAATGAATTTGTGTTTTTAAGCCATCATGTTTGTAGTAATTTGATATAGCAGCCATGGGAAATTAATAACTAATATGAATAAATAGTTTATCTACTTTCGTTTAGCTGTGAGTTTTCCAAATTTATACATTGACATATAAATTTGGAGGAACCCTTTGGAAATGGTATCCTTGTCAAGGTGGCATTATTAAACTGTAGGTATAAAAGTAGCTTAAAGGACAAATGCTAATAAACTTCATGATTACGTTTCTTAAAATTTATGGGAAAAATGCTACTCAATTTTCTTATAATAATATTGCTTAATCTCATTAAAAAATCACAGGCAGGGTGATATGTTTTGTATAATATAGTCACTTCTATTTCCCCTTCCTTCCCCTTAAATTGTATAATACGGTTCGGTTACAGTAGAAATCACTCCTGGAGAGTGTTTATTGTAAGACATTCATTTCTAAGATATTGGATCCAGTTTAAACTTCATAGTCAAGGAAATTGATTTTTCCCAGGCCACTTTTGTATTCAGCTCTAAATCCTTTAATTAGAGTAGGCAGGTAGGGGTGCTATTTTTGCAGACTATTCAGGTCTTGCCCTAAAATTGAACTTTAATTTGAAGGAGGCAAAACTGAGAGTAGAACTAGAAAGTGCCCTAAAAATGTCAAGCAGTGAGTACATACAGCTTACTAGATACGCTCTAGGGCCTGTGTACAGGAGCTTGAGTGTGACTTTAAGGAACTAAGAATCACTCTCTTTAGGCCTTTCTCACATTTCCAAACACTTTAGAAAAATAAATATATGTGAATTTCCTTTCATTTTAAAATTTATTTACCTTCCATTTTCATCAAACTTGATCTCCTTCAGAAACTCCAAAACAGTACCCTTTTATGTGTCAGTATATAAATAAAGAAACCAAATTAGAAACTCATAGGTCCTGATTCCTTTACTAGCTATTACTGGTAATGATTAGAAGTGCCAAAGTTTTCATAAGCAAACCTGTTTCCACAAGATTTCATGCCCAATCCTATGACTTCAGAGGCATCAAACCCAGCTAGAAAAACATCCTAACTCATTGGTGTCTATCCAATCAAGCACTGTCTCTCTGGGCTCAAACTTCAATATCCAAAGAATATAAACTATCATAGTCTAAGTAAAACACAAATGAAAGTAATTCATATATTACAAGAACTTGCTATAAAAAAGTTCAGTGCTTCAGCATATGATAAGTCTTATCTCCATATATGAATGAGGGGAAAAAATGTGTTTCAACTAAGCTTCTTTTATATCAGACTGGTTTTGAGCTCTTTTATTTTTATTTACCATTTTTTAATTATAAAAATGAAAAGAAAAATATTTCTGTCTTCTGTGGAATTACAAAATATCTCAATTAATCTAACAAGAAGGAACCAGCTTAAATATTTAAACTACCAAAGCAAAGAAGAAATTAAGTAGATTGGAAGAGAAATTCAAATAACCATACGTTGCTCTCTTGTTCTTAGGCAAAAAACAACCTAATAAATCTATTACAAACATATGTTTATGAAGGGTAATACTGTATTAATTATTAAGAGAGTCATAATCATAGAGACACCACAGTGAGGAGCTAGTTAATTTATGGTGGAAAAAAAAATGAATTTGGTTCCTCTGAAGCCACAAAGGACATTTGATTTTCACTTTGCAAAGACTACAGATGCTCCTAAATTAACTAGGGGAAAGGCTGTGAGTCTGCAGAGCAGTTCTCAATGGATGGAACTGTTATAAAGAGACAAGCACAGCAGCAGGCACCCTGTGGGTTCTCAATAAATGTTC